AATCAGCTTTTATTTTAGTCTTCCACTGTTAAACAAAGTTCTGTCCTATCTTGAACAGGACAGACCTGTATAACCAAAAAAATTCCCAAATTGACAGCCACTACATTAAGTAAAAGAGCAGAAGTTAAGTGACTTTGGACTTTATAAGAATAACATCTCCAAAATATTGATAAAAAAATTTCCAACCTAGAATTATATAACTGGCCAAACTATGAATCCAGTGTGAAGGATCCAGTGTGAAGAAGTAGACATGTATAGACATGAATTTATTAAACATTTTCTTTCCATGCATCTTTTATTAAGAAGCTATTAGAAGAATATGTTAGGGCTGGGACTAAGTAAAGTGCATGAAGTGCTTTTTTGCCTTGGGAGCACAATTTAAAGGGCAATAAAAAAATTAGTGATTAGGATAAAGAATATTTTTTAAAAGATTTTATTTATTTATTTATAGACAGAGGGGAAGGGAGGGAGAAAGAGAGGGAGAGAAATATCAATGTGTGGTTGCCTCCTGCACTCCCCCAACTGGGGACCCAGCCTGCAACCCAGGCATGTGTCCTGACTGGGAATTGAACTGGTGACCCTTTGGTTCACAGGCTGGTGCTCAATCCATTGAGCCACAGCAGCTAGGGCAGGATAGAGAATATTTTAATGCAATATTTTAAAAATAAAATTAATAGAAAAAGTTTATGATGAACAAAACATCAAAATGTTAAATACATGACCCAGTAGGGCTGGGCTGAGGTGAGGTAAGTGAGGCCAGCTCATGCAGGTGCAGGGGTGGATCCCATTTTTAACTGACCATTTTGATATTCTGTTGCTTGTACAGATCAGCCTTACTTAAAGTAGGATAGTACTGCATAAGGATAGATGTACAAAAAGATGTGTTATTGGGATCACCTTGGAGCCTGATTATCATAAGGACAAAATTATGTTACAGTTTTATTGGGTGGAAAGAGGTTATAGGAATGTGTGTGAATGGTATGTTGGGGGTGGATATGAGAATTAAACCCCCATTTTCCATGGTTGGTAGTTAATAGATTATACTGCTAAATGGAAGAGCCAAGAAGTACTATTAACATGCTATTGAAAGATATGGGGATAAATACTTAAAAATGGATAAAAGATATGAAAGTTATTCCTTTTGTGGAGGGGAAATAAGATAAGGGCAAAACAGGGACCTGGAGACTGCTATTTGTCTTAAATGTTGCTGAACCAGTTGACTTATGTGCATATATGACTAGTAGAAAAATTAAAATAAGTAAATCAATGTTTGACATTTCAAATAAAAGCCTCTGAAGTACTCATGGGGAAAGCAGAAGTTTATTGGACTTCTTACATGAAGTTATGATTCAGTATTATTTTTACTTTGGATTACATGTGGAGGTGGGTGCTAAACTCTCTCAGTGATAAGTAGGGCCTATAACAATCTTCCTGAGCTGGTACAGTTTTCAGGAGAGATAGGTGCTCCTTCTCATGTAACCCTCACTACATAACAGGGCATGAAATATCCCTAGGTGAGGGATACTGACAGATGAAAGAAACTGAGGCTCAGAAAGGGAAAGTAACCAGTCTGAGCTAGTCACTCCACAGTAAATGGCATTGGGGTAGACTGGCTGCCAGATCCTTCTGCCAATGAGACCAAGGATCATACCAGGAAACTGGTGTTAGCTCCCTAGACTGTAGTTGCACACTGGTCCCTTTTGGCCAGGTCCCCACATTTGCTGTCTAGTTCTGGTTTGACCTGCATCCCCATTACATGTTGGTGGCTGAAGCTGTTCCCTGACAGATGTGAAAACCCTCCATCTTGCTGGTTGCAATACCTACAAACTCTGTCCTTAAAGTCAGGCTTCCTGTCTCAACCATTCCATTGTTTTTGTGCTTGCCTTTTCATGGCTGAACTACAGACCCACACATCTATGTAGCCTGGGGTCTGGCCTTCAATGCTCTGATGTGCTGCACGGTACTTCAGAGAGGGTCAATACTATTAAATTTGGAAGGATCAGGGAGTTTTCTCTAGTTTGAGGCAAGAAGGAAACTTTTCATGAGGCTAGGAGAACCTGATGCAGCTAAAGGACTGTAGCAACTGGAATCTGCAATCGGGGCCACCATTTCTAGGCATTATGTCCCCCAACACAGCTTTGACTTCTGTGGCCTGCTTTCTTCTCTGCTTTTTCTGCTTTTTTTCCTTCTTTCCCACATATCCTCTTCCAGAGATGATTTAAAGGAACAAAGTCTTTACATAAAGCCTCTTTGGCTCCCCACTAGTCAGGACTGACCAGAGCGTATGGTTGTCCAATCCTCTGGCTTGAGTTGTCTCTGAGAGGGGCCAGTTTCTGGCCTAAGGTCCTCTTTAGTGCATGTTTACTATAATACCATCCCTTTCTGATTTGTCCCCATGTCAGCCAGAGTTTCTGAGACTTAGCCAAGAAACTTCCCTTTTTTGGAGCTATAGGTGATTGGATTCAATCTCCATTCCCTCTTTTGTCCTTGGAGGTCCGAGAGTGAGACTAAAGTTCCAACCCTCTAATCACTTGTTGGTTCCTTTGATGTCCAGCTGCCATTCTTAGGTGACCTAGAAGCTTTCCAAAGGATACCTCATTTATATAACTAAAGATGCTTTTGTGGTTATCCACACTTAGAAAAATTCCAAGGATTTAGGAGCTCTGTGCCAGGAAGGGGACAAGGGCAAAGACTGAATATATTTCTTATTATAAAAATTACAACATCACAGAAGTTAACGTAGTTAACTGCTTTACAACTGAGACTGAGCCTCACTGAAACAACTTGCAAAAAAATCACACAACTTTTAAGTGACAGGACCACTGGAACCTGTCCACATCTTTAAGGCTTGAATGAAGGCAATACAGCATAATGAAAAGAGAAAAAGATTTGGAAAATACTCCTTAGCTTAGTTCTTGCCTCTATTCCAGTTGTAGGGCCTAAATTTCTCAGGTTCACTTTCCTCTTCTAACAAATGAAATGTTCTGTAGAAGAGGTTTGAGAACAAAATGAATTGTGTATACAAAACACCTGTCATGTAGCACCGAGAAGCATATTTCACTTCCACGCCTTCCATCACCCTGCCATCTAGATCCAGGTTTAGTCATCTTCCTACTACATCATGCTCTTCCCAGCCCAATGCAGGAAACAGGCAGGGACATGAATAACTATGATGGAAGAGAGAAGGCAGTCAGTGCTGTATGAGCCCATGAGCTTTGCTAGGATAGCCAAGCAGCACTTCATGGAGGCTGAGATATTAAATCTGGACCTGAAATGTTTTGTCACATTTCAAGAGATGGAAAATAGATGGGAGGTTCCTGAGATTCCACATTTAGTAGCTAGATAAAGCACTGGGCAAATGATGGGTGTGTAAGTATTCAATAGACTAAAAGGCTGCACTGTGTGTGAAATGGGATTATTTAGGCCATGCCTACTGTACTAGATTCTAGGCTAGCCCTCTCCACAGTGCTTAAACTGACAATCCAGACTGAGGTGGGATAGTCAGTTTAAGCACTCCAAGGAGCCCTCCCCCTTGGACTCTCCACTCCATCTGGTGGTCATCAAGAGCACAGGCCCCAGTTGGAGGGGCTGACCCTCATCAAGGATGCATGTCTTTCAGAAGGGATGGTGGGAATAGGGGCAGTGGCGTGGGCTGTGAAGCCTATGAGCAACACTACTTCTCCCCTGCCCCCCAATCCAGGAAAAATTGGCAGGAGAGAGAAAGGCCCAATATCTTGCCTTCAGCTCCTCACACCAGCTGGGATTCTATTTTTAACTGGCACTGTCCTGGTTGACAGCTTGGAACGCCTTCTCCCTCTGTTTTTACTTTGTCCTGCCTCTTGCAGCCCGGAGCTCAGTAGAAACTGATGGATAGGAGCTGCCTTAGTGCTGGTAAGCAGAAAAACCACTCTCCCTTCTCGCTGTCCTTCGCTCCCCCCAGCCTTTGACCAGCATAGTTAGTGTGTAGACTACAGAGACATTATTAACTATGAAGCTAATGAGGCTTAAATTTCAGGACTCCTCACTCACACAGGCCTCTTCAAAGGTCCTGCTCAGTCTCCTAGTGATTTTGTATCTGTATTTTTGGTATTCTATTTCTTAAAAAAGGGCTCCCAATTTCATAAGTTCTGGGCACCACAAAAGTTGGGTCTGCCTCCTAATGAGTATGGCTTCTTTCCCATCTCCAACTCAGTGTCTGTTTTAAAAGGGTTATTTCTGTCTTGTACTTATTTACTGTATGACCTTGAGTGGTTTTCTTTCCTACTCTGGGTCTCAGTTCTCCCAACTGTTACAAGATGAAATGTCAAGGAAGCCCTCTCCCAACATACCATACCTGTGATTATCCATGTGTGTCCCCTTGGGGAGCTCTTCTGTTCCTCCCTGTTTGCCACTGTGTGTGTGAAGGGGAGGATGTTGCTGTCTCTGCCTCTCTGGGGCTGGATCAGTCTTATAGTCAAAAGGAAGGCTGGGCTCTGGGAATCCTATTCAGCCCCAGCCCTCCCCATCCCCCTTTGTTGTTGCTGGCCAGTAAGGGTGCTTCCATGGAGCAGAAGTTTGGCCAGGTTTTGCTGTCAGAGAAGAGTGCATTGAAAAGGCTTTACTCTTTAATTAGCTTCTGTACCCTTGTCATGGTCTGACCCTTGGTTTTTAAACACACATTGGATAAACTGAGTCTCATTATACAGTGTTTCCTCTTTTATCTTTTCATGAAGTATTTAATAAGTATCTATTAATATAATACCTTAACAATGACATGACTTTAGGAGAATGTGCTCAGAACTCATGATGTGCCATGGATATCCTACCTCCTACACTCATCCTATTCCCAGCTACTACCTGTGACATGGGTGTGTAGGTGGGTCCAGGAAGACAATCCAGAGAAAACACACAGCCTCGTCCAGCCTCAGACTATGGGCTTTTTGGCAGGGGGTCCTGCTGTGCATGACTTGACAAGGAAACCCGTGCTTCCTCATCTGACCCAAAAAAGGCCAGAATGGAAGTTTAGGAGGAAGTCAAGTCATTTATTGTTTCTTGAAGACATCAGGTGGGGAGCAGTGGGCAGGGACATAGTATTTAACTGGAAAGTAATAAAAGGACTTTTTAGTTCAAAACAGCCTATTGGTCAGGGATCTGTGAGATTAGGTTGGTGTTCCCAGGACTGACTGGGGGAAGGGTACTGTGAGGTCAAACTCAGCAGAGCCTGGAGCATCTCAGGAATCAGCCCAGTGTCAGGCTCCAGATCCCTAAGTGAATCTGTGTCATTACTATATGTGTGTAAGAGGCAGGTCTCCCTTGTCATAGGGGTCCCACAGTGGAAGGACAGTCCACAACTCGTGATGCTGTGTCTGGGTCATCAAGCGTGCCTCCTTTTCTGTGTGGGGGTCCGGCTTGCTTACTTTGTGTTGATAAGCCACTTTTCCCTGTGCACTGGGATTAGGCCATGACATTAGGTGTCTGTCTTTTGTGTCATTTGGTATGTTGGTCTGTGTCTCTTGTGTGTCCGGGTGGGTCAGTGATTGTAAAAGTAGGTCTGCCCTGCCTTAACCCCCCGCTTGACCTCTACCCCTCAGCCAGGCCCCAGGGTGCTGACAGTGGTGTAGCTCAGCCGGGACAGTGAAGCAATGGAGGGGGTGGGAGGGTCCTCCTCTGGAAGAGGCCTGGGGCGAGCTCGTGGAGGCCGAGGGCAGCAGCGGGCACATGTGTCGAGACAGGCCTGGCGAAAGCGGCGGTGCATGAAGCAGTAGACCAGGGGGTTGACACAAGCCGAGGCATAGCTCAGCAAATGGATGAAAGAAATGGGCGCACCTGAAAGTGCTCGGCGCGCTCCAGGGTCGTCGAAGGCCCGCCAGGTATTTGCGCTGTACACTGGCAACCAACACATGAAAAAAAGCACAACGATCACCAGCAACATTCGCACCACACGCTTCTTCGCCAAAAGCTTGGCTTGGGTGGGCCGGTGGCTGGAACCTGGCCCGGTAGTGGGTGCAGTCAGCGCAGACAGCTCCAGTGCAGGCCGGGAGCGTGGAAGCTGCACGTAACAGCCATCACCGTCCTCACCAGCCAGCCGGGTCTCAGTCCGGCAACGCCCGTTCGGTAGCGCAGCACCTGAGCACAAGAGAGTGGGCGCTCAGAGCAGAAGACAGTTCTCACAACCTCCAGACCAACCCACCTGAACCCCCCATTTCCAGCATCTTCATCCCTAGGCCCTGCCCCTTTCCAAAGCCCCGCCCCTTTTGGATTTTACCCACCAGGTCCTGCCGCACCAGGCAGCCCTCCTTGGCTTCGGACTTGGCTCTGGCTCTCGCTGTCACTGTCACCATCAAAACGAAGCCCTAAGTAGAGCTCGCGGGAAATAAGCCCGTAGGCCACGGCCATAACCACGCCCGGGATGAAGAACAAGAGCAGGAGCAGCAGCACCGACCTGGAGACAGAGCACAGACCAATCACGCGGGTCTCTGTCCAGCCATAATCACAGATAGAAGAAGAGCCAAGAACTGGTGTTTCTAGGATTTGGGAGTGCTGCTGGGAAGGCTTAGAGAACTTCAGAGAGGCCTGAAATGGGAGTCCCAGAGTGGTGGATGCAGAAACGGAATCGAAGTGGTAATTCTTGCAATAGCTGGAGGAAGATTCTGGAGAATGGTCCTAAGCATCTGATGGAGATAGAGAAGGGATTCCCAGGAACGGGCAAGGCACCCTCACCAGGTTTGGCGAACCCTTGCACTGGGCCAGCGATGCATGCATTGCAGCGCCCGGGGCCCCATGGGCTGCACAACGGTGTACACCGGGTAGGGCACCATGAGCAGTCCGGACAGCATCCACGTGGCTACAATCACACGAGCAGCGTGGGAGCGCGTCTGCCACACGCGCGCCTGCAGTGGTCGGCAGATGGCGCTGTACCGTTCCAATGCGATGGCCACGAGGCTGAGTGTGGACACACTCACGGACACCCCTAAGCAAGGGAAGAGGAAGAGGTCACCTCAGAAACCTGAACTACACATTCACCAATGTGACTTCCTCATCTATCTTCCGGAAACAGCCCGGACATCGGGTAAGGACTGGGGAAGAGGAAAGGGGAAAGGGGGCCAGGGTGGTTGTCTCACCTACCCATGAGGTAGGCAACCGCCTTGCAGACGACTGTGCCAAAGATGAATGTGCCCATGAGATTGGGCAGGAGGGTGAAGGGCATGCAGGCCACTGCCAGTAGGAGATCGCTGACCGCCAGTGAGAGCAGGAAGGTGTTGGTGACGGTCCTCAGGCGGCGGCTCAGTCCCAGGACCACAATGATGAGCACATTTCCTCCAACACTCATCAGGAAGATCGCTGCATAAAGGGTGACCCTAATGGCAAGCTCCAATTCTGAGTAAAAAAAGGAAGAGGTGGCAAAAAAGGTCTAGCCCAGACTTAGCCAGACCCTTCAATCTCATCCCCAACCTCCACTACCCACCCAGATCCCCTGTTTCCCAAGAATACTGCCACCCACTCAGTACATGGTGAACTTGAATCTTTTATCCTTCTAACCACTAGAGGCTTAATTACATTGGCCTAATTTTACCCTTCCTTAAGAAAGTCTATCTCTTCTCAAGCTTTACATCAAATCTCTTTGAGGCCAAACCTCTTGAAAGAATTATATTCATCTTTCTGTTCACTTCTCAGTCCATTATATTCAGTGCCCCATCTGTCTCCCCATCACTCTTTGGACACTTCTTCCCAAGGTCACTAAGCTTTAAGTCTTACAGGAGACCTTTAAATCCAAAGGTCTCCTGTAAGCCTATTCTACTTAACCTTCCTGAAGTATTTGACACATCAGGTCACATCCTCATTGTCTAAAAAAAAAAAAAGGCAACAAAAAACAAAACACCTTCACCTACTCTCTACTGTCTGCAACCTTTCAGCATGCGAAGATTCTCAGAGAACTGCCCTCTTCCTCCTTCCACCTCCTCTCTGCAACGCACCCACTGAAGCTACTGGATGACTCAGTTTCTTAAAGGCATCATGTGCACTCATGACTCCCTTCTTTGCTCACATTGGTTTCACAGCATGGAATGCTCTTTCAACAACCCCCATCTCTCATCACAAATTTGTTTTCTGTACCTGGTGAATTTCTATTTACCAATGTCCTTAACACTGAGATCAAGTACCCTGTTTTCTGTATGGCCTTTCTGAACACCTCATTTGGAATTAATCTCTCCTTCCTCTGACCAATGCATGTTCCTTACACATCTATTAGAACCCTTTTTACTTTCTGCCTTATATATTAGTCATCTCCAAACATTCATTTGCACTCAACAAACATTTACATGCCAGGCACTTGGGGTAGAGATGAACATGAAAACAGGGAGGGATACTTAGATATATAAACAGATAATTGCCACACAGTATAGTGAGGCATGGAGGTTGAGGTATACACAAAGCGCTGTGGGAACTCACAAGAGGGACACTAGAGTTGCTGGGTTAGGCAGAGGGCTGACTCCATTCAGTGCATCATTGAGTATTAGGAGATGGATTTATCTTTGGGGCTTCATATCAAAGCCAAGAAGATCCAGACAAAATTGGTTCTTGTCCATGTCACTCATGGCTTCAGCATGAGGGAGACCAGAGTTTAAAGGGAAAGAGGAGAGGGGCAGAGCCTTCTAGGTTGGGGAAGGGAAGGACTCAGAGCTGCTACTCTCTCTTCCTCAGCCCATACATTTGCTGATTTGCCTTAGCCACCAAATTAAGCTGTTTTCTTATCACAAATTCCAACTTATTCAGAAACTGTGGTAGAGGTTAAGTAAATGTTATTTACAACAGATCCCTGAACTAAACCCAGTAGTGACATTACTTGCTCAGAGCACACAGAAAGTAAGGGGCAGAACCAGAATAAAAGCCAAGTCTCCAGATCTCTAAAACACTTTGCCTCCTACTGCTCTTTGGCTCCTCTGTCATTCTTCATGCTGGCTTCTTTTTCCAATCAAACCTCAATCTCGGTGCTTCTTTCTCCCTCACTTTGTTTTGTCTCATGATACTTCTCACTGAATTGCAATGTTTAAATATCTGTCTCCTTCACTAGACTATGAGCTTCTTGTGTTCAGCAGCAATGTCCATCTCATTTTCCAGCATATCCCTAGCACTTGGCATAACGTCCCTTTCAGAGGAGGTGTCAACACTTGCTTGTTAGTGAATCTGGAATGAATCTCTGTCACTCTGCATACAAATGCACCTGCTTTGTCCTTCCTCATCCATCCTTCACCTCTGTGCCTCTAAAGCTCAATCATGCCCTCTCCTCTCTGCTTCTGTTTTCTTTGGAGACAGAACTAATATGCTGTCTCAAAAAAAAAAACCAAACAAACAAACCAGAGCAGACAATATTTAAGTGAGTGTAAATATGAGATGTTAACATGTTAAGATGTTAAGTGAGATGTCAATAGGATTGAGTCAATCTGATTTGAGTGTTTATGGATAATATCTGAATGTGTAAGGGTAGTATCTGGAGAAGGGTTACTTAAATGAGTACAGGTAATATCTAATTGTGTGTAGATAATGATAAAATAAAAGTGAGTGTGTTAATGGATGAGTGACATCTAAATGATTTGGGCAATAATAATGTGAATGTGGGTAACATCTGTTTTCCTGTGGGTAGCATCTAAGTGAACATGGGTACTACTCAAGTCTGTGTCTAGATGGATTACACCTGAATAGTGTGGGTAGTATCCAAATTTCTACTGGCAACACTGTTGTGAGCCTGGGTAACATGCACCTGTGGAGGTAATATCTGAGCAAATGTGGCTAACAGAGCCTTTGTGGTTAACTTCTGATGGCCTGTGTAACATCCAGCTGTGTGTGGGCAACAGCATCCAGATGAGTGAGGCCAATTCTTGCACCTGTGACCTGAATCACTTCACTGAAATAATTTCACAGAATCACTTCATATTCTGCTTTCTCAGGGTCATTTGCTCTATTCACTACCCCCATTATCTTCTGCACCTTCAGCCCTGATGGACTTTACTTTCTTTGCCTGCTTTTTCAAAGATTTTACTTATTTATTTTTAGAGAGAGAGGATGGGAAGGAGAAAGAGATGGAGAAAAACATGTGAGAGAGAAACATTGATCAGTTGCCTTTCACACACCCTCAACTGGGGACCTGGCCCACAACCCAGCATGTGCCCTGACTGGAAATCAAACTTACAACCTTCCAGTTCACAGGCTGGTACTCAATTCACTGAACAACACCAGCCAGGGCCTTTGCCTGGCTTTTTAACATTGGTCTTTTTCAGGGTTTTGTCCCAGTACCTCTTTTTTCATTCTACAGAAAATTTGATCTATTCTCATTGCTTCAGTTACCTCCTCTAGGCAAAGACCTTTGAAGTCTGTGTTTCCAGCTCATACCTCTCCCCCTAGGTAACAGACCCCTGGGTTCAGTAGTTTACTGGGCAACCCCATCTGAGTATCTCACCAGCATTTAAACTCATTGGGTTCCAAATGGAATAAATTATAATCTTCTCTTTTAAACCTGATTCTCTTCCTTTGTAACCCTTCTCATTATACAGCACTGATATCCATTCAATTGTCCAAGCCAAAAACCTGAATGTCATCCCTTGATTTCTTCCTCCATCTCCATTTCTCATAAAGCACTAAATTCTGTTTATTTTACTTCCAGAAGTGCCTCTCAGATTCATTCATTTCTTTCCATCTTCCTGCCAGTACTTTAGTCTAAGCCAGCATAATCTTTCACCAGGACTGGTATAACATAATAGCCTCCTAAAGTGTCCACCCACCTTCATTCTCTGCCTTCCATGTTTTGTCCTCCAATCCATCCCGGCAGTACTGCTGAAACTTTCAGTAGTTCCCAGTGCTCTTAAGATGCAATTGACACTCCTTAGCCAGGTCTGAAAAGCTCTCCATAAACCTTTTATGGTAGTCTTCATTCTGAATGTTCATTACTCCTCTTTTATGGTATATGTTTCAGGCTCCCAGAAACTATGCCACACCGAACAATAGTGCCATGGATTTCAACTTTGGGCTATGACATACATTGTTCCTCTGCTAGAGATGCTTTTTGTTTTTTCTGTTTGTTCACTTAGCTGGCTTTCCCCCATCTTTTAAAATTTTTATTCAGTTCATTCTTCACCTTCTCAGGAGGTCAACTTTGATTCCCAAGGCTAAGCTAAGCAAGAGGTTCTCCTCTCCTATGTTCCCACAGCTTCCTCAAGGCACTTCTCACTTTGTGCTGCAATCCCCTGCTTTCTTCTCTGTCTCTTCCACTAAACTGCGAGCTCAATGAAATAGGAATTGTGTCTGTTTTGGTGCCTCATGCATTCTCTGGCTTAATAAATAGTTGTTGAATGAAAAAAATTTAAGTGAGAATATGTAATAGCTGGTCTGAAAAAACATGCATTATTTTGCTGGGTAAAAAAAAATACTTGAATTATAATGTATTCCTACTTTCCTTTCTTGGGCTTGTAATAATTTCCTTCTGCTTAATTAACACTGTTTTCTCTCCTGAAATCCCATTCCTTCTTTTTCTGCCTAATAAATTCCAACTTCAAAACCCAGCTCCCAGGTTCCCTTTGTGAAGTTCTCAAACCCCATCTCCTTTGGGTGCTGATAATTTGGACCCTCTTGTGGGACTTCCCATGCTGACTGTGATTTTTTTTTCTGTTGGTTTTGTGTCCCTTTTGCACTTGACTATGGATCAATGAAGGTCCAGACTGAGTCTAGTTCATCCCTGTGTCCCCAGCATCTAATTCAGGAACTACAATGGCAGGTGCCCGAAAAACATTTAAGGAAAGGCACAAGAAATGGAAAATATATCTTGAGCCAGATCATCAAAAAAAATTAGGATGCTGACTGATGGGAAGAGTGAAAGTTATTTTGGGGACTGGGTGAATGGATATCATCTGAAGGGGAAAGGGTTGATGAGAGGGAGGGGGCAGCCAGGCTCTAGGAGGGTGAAACCTAAGGCAAGGCAGGTTGGAGAGGAGGCTTCGAAGGGACTTGGAGACAGAATAAAAAGAGAGGGTTCAGAGCCTTGAGAAGAATTTTAAGTTGGGAGGCAGAGGGATTTGAGGATGAGTGAAATGGAGACAGGCAGCCTAATTTCCAGCCTAATAATCCAAGCTTGAGGATCTCTTTAGGAAAGCTGGAGGTTGGGGTAGGGAGCACAGATTATAACTCTAATTTCCCACTCAGGTCTTGCAGAATGCTTTCTCCCCCAAACAATTCCCTTGTTTTCCCCAATCTTGCTTTTTTTCCACTTTCTTTCCTTCCCCATTGTGGCTCTCTGTATGAACTGTATGTAAAGGAAAAGAGAGACAGGAGGATTGGCAAGAGGTCCTTGCTTCCCCACCACCATCTGTGTCTAGGAGGGGGCTGTGTGTTGGCGGAGGGGGTTGTGTTCTGGGGTTTACCAGAAGCTCTGGGTGGGATCAGGGGACCAGGGTGTGAAGGGGCTCTGACAAGGTGTGTGAAGCTGGGATGGAGTTTTGTGAGCTGCAGGGGACAAATGTTTCAGGAGAACTGTTTTGGGCCTGAGGTAGTGTCCTGAGGGCACGGGTGTGGGTGTTTGAGGAGGCAGTGTGGGGGCAGTGGGGTCCCTCTATTTGTATTGTGGAGGGCAGTAAGAAGGAGCTTTTGGAGGGGGCTTAGGGAGGCACCCACCTCGTGTCCCGTTTCCACGGCCGCGAGGCAGCTCGCAGCTGAGGTTGCCGGTACCGCTGCTGTTGAGGAGGGGAGGCGCTGGGCGGCACAGGGAAGCTCCTGGCCCGGGTCCGGATCCTGGCATGCTCCGGTTCAGCTTCAGCAGCTCCATGGCCCTAGCCCAGCCGCCGCCTCCCCCAGCTCGGCCAGGCGGGCTCCAGACACTGCTCCACCTGCTCCAGCCGATTCCGCGGAGGCTGCAGCCCCGCCTGGTCCCGCCCCCAACCTTGGCCCCTGCCCACCACTCCTCCGCGGTGTTCCCCGCCCGGGCTCGAGTCCCCGGCTCGGATAGGCAGCTATCCCACCTCGCCAGCTCAGGACGTGCCCCCCTCGTGACCGTCCTTCAGGCTCTCCCCCTTTTTCTATCTCTCTGCTCTTAGACACTTCTTCCCCCCCCCCCCACCTCCCCGCAGCACGGTCCCCGGCTCCGGGGAATTGTGTGTGTTCGTGTGTGAGCGCGCGCGCGCGCGTGTTGGCAGGGTGCAGTTGGGGGGTGGATGGAGAGATTTCGAGGAGGGAGCTTTCGGGGTGGGGAGAGTAAGAGGCGTGGGTAAGAGAGTAAGGGACGGCTGAAGCGGGCTCTAGCATCTTTTCCTGGTGTTCGGGGGCCTGGTGTAGAGGTGGCAACCGAGGGCGCACATGCTTTAGCCCACGCGGAGCACCATGGTTACCGTACTCTACACCGCAGTGGCCGCGGTGACTCTCTACCGTAGTTTCCTGCAGCTTCTCGCTGCTGGGCTGGGGTAGGTAGTCCCTGCATCTGCCCCCGCACCCTGCACCTGCCACTTTCTACCGCGGGCCCAACACACAGGCTTCCAAGTAAAGCTCCCAAAAAACCCTCTGCAGCGGACGAAGATGGAGCTCCAGAGGCAGCATTTGACCCCGGGAACCCTGGCAGGGAAAGGGCTGTCTTGGAGGCAGAGTCTGACTTGGGTGTTGAGAGCAGCGGGGGTGGTGGTGAGAACTGCCTAGGAAAAACGGCGGTGAGATGGGGTGACGGTGCGGTAGGGTTGCAATCCAGCCCAGCACAAGCATATGTGGGGAGAGGGCGGCTGGCTTTCTCAGTGGTCGCCAGGCAGCACCCACCGTCCCCCGACACACTGACGCTCGGTGTTTGCTCCCCGCGCAGGTGGAACGGCCTGTGTAGGGCGGCAGGTTTCCACGGGAGGGGCTGGAAGGGTGCAGCGGGCACAAAGCTGATGGGGGCATGCGCGGGACTGAGGTGGGTTCAGCTCCCTGGGCAGGACTTGCCTCCTCTAATATTTTAGTGCAAAAAGCAGACTAGACTGCGGATGAGGTCCGAGTATGTGGAAAATTCACTGAATCCTATCCAGTCTTTTGGGGAAGACCTGGTCCAGCCAGCGCTGAGTTTAAAGGGGCTGGGCCTCTGGAGGATTTAAGCCTGAGGTGGGTGGGTATGTTCTCACCTGCACCATGTACTTTTCTCCTGGCACTGCCGGCCTTCCCCACCAGAGAGCCTGGCCAGAGGAGCCTGATTTGCTGTTTGTTCAGCTCCAGCACAGGTGGGGCCTCAGATAACCTGCTGGACTTTTCCCACGTTGTGTGAACGTAGGGTGTGGGCGTCAGGGAGCAAAGGAAATGTAGGGGTGAGAGGAGTGAAAACAGGAGAAGTAGACGAACATTCACTTATTCAGCTACATATGTGCCAGGTAGAAGGCTGTGTACTAGCTGTCCCATACAGTATGTGCCTGAGTGGGTTCCACTCTAGTGGGGTAAGGAAGTGGGTGGGGAAGAACAATAGGTAAGTCAATGATTACAAGGTGTGGCCCACCAAGATTATATTATACAACACACACCAAGATGCAAAAATCAGAACTGTAGGGGTCATTCTGAATTCCTGTTCCTTCATGCTTCTTCATCCTGGTGTGGATGCTGTGATGAAAAGCCCAGACTCCTCTCCAGAAATGAAGGCTTTATTCTCCAGCAGCTGAGAGGGCTGTTGGAAGAGAGCCCTCAACTGTCAGGCCCTTCAGGGATTGCCTGAGCTGAAGAAAGCCGCCTCATGGAAGGTCATGTTCACTTTCTGGGACATCTTGCATCCAATGACGGATGAGTAGAGAGGCATAAAAGTTCAGCCCCCTCACCCCAACATAGGACAACTGTTAAACACATTTTCAGCTCCTTGTTGGAGCTGACTGGGGCCTTTGTTGGGACAGAATTACTGCTCAGCTTCTCTGCCCAATTTTCCTTTCACCCTCTTTCTTACACAGGTGTTGACTCCAAGAGCACTCCTTAGTAAACATCCTGCACAGTATTTCTGTTTTAGAGTCCACTTCCTGGGAACATAACTTCCTTACTCCCATATTTAATCATTCATAAAGCCTTGTTGATTTTAGCTACTGAGTGTTTCTTGAATCGGCCTGCTTGTATCTTCACTGACATCACCCCACTATTTCTTGCTCATTCTCCTAACCTCATAAGTGGTCTACAACATTTTACTGATGCCTCCTTACATCCATCCTCCACCTTACAGCTAGAGTGATAGGTTCAGAATACAAATCTGATCATGCCAGTCTTCTGATCTCTGCTTTTGGTATAGATAACATCTTTTAACAGAGTCTATGAAGCTTGCATGCCTGGACTCCTTCTGACATCCCTAACCACTTTTCCAAGTCACCATGCTTCCCGTTCTGTCTACTGTAGACACAGTGGCCTTCCTTTAGTCCATTTTTTTGGATATATGTCCTCCAGTTATGTGGATTTTGCACAAGCTTTCCCTCCTTATCTAATTAACTCCCACTCATCCTTCCTATCTCAGCTCAAGGTCTCAGCATTTCTCAGGGATGTTTTCCTTCTGTGCTAGGCAGAATTATAAGAATGACCCTCAGTGACTCTCACTCTTGTATAATCTCCTTCCCTCGAGTGTGGCTAAAACCTGTGAATAAGATACTATTCCCAAGATTAAGTTATATCGCAAAAGGGATTTTGCAGATGTCATTAATGTTACTAATCAGTTGACTTCACAATAGAGAGATTATCCAAGTAGCCCTAACTAAATCACATGAATCTTTCACTCAAAATAAGCCAGCCTCCTACTTCATAGAGAAAATGGTAACTATCAGAAAGCAACTCCCACTAGCAAATCTATTCCATTTTAAACATGTTAAATTCCAGAGATTTATTAAACATCCAAGTAGGAATTCTGGTAGGAAGCTGAATATACAGGTTGCATAGGAAGTAATGCAAACTGCAGAATTAATGGAAATGTGTTGTACAAGAAGAAATGAGGAACCAGGTCAGAAGTCTGGAAAAGGCCATTATTTAAAGGCTAGATAGAGAAATACCCGCTTGCAAAAGAGACCAAGAGGAGCAGAGGAATGGAAGGAAAATAAGGGGGAAAAGGCATCATAAAAGTGAAAGGAGAAAGTGCTGAACTAATTCAAAAACTGTTCCTGCACCAGGACAATGAGGGCATAGAAATGTGCTCTGAATTTAGTGACCTGGAGACCTTTGACAGCTTTGGAAAAAAGTGCCGTTGTGGTGAGGTTGTAAGAGAGGTTAATTACTAGTGCAAAAATTCTGAGAAGGCAGGAAGCTATGGAACCCAGAGCACATGTGGAGGGTTCTAGATAGGAGTAGAGATTCAAATGTAAGTTAGTAGAAGAGAATAATTAGAGATGAAAATAAATCATGGCCAAACAGATAACAACTGTATTTCCTAGTTTTTTGGCAGCTAAGTGTGGCTTTATGACCATGTCCTGAACAGTGGTTGTGGGTGAAAGTAATAAATTCAGCTCCCAGATCAAGGTCTTGAAGGAGAGGAGTAGACTCTTTCTTCCTCATTGTCTTTTCTTGCAGATCTAATGTGGATGTGATGATAAGCCACCTTTCTTTAGTCATGCATTGAAGGTAATGCACTAAGGATGGCAGAGTGACAAGGTGGAAGGAACCTGGGTCTTCTATACTCTCAAGCCATTTTACCACCCTTGGTTCTCAAGTATGAAAAAGAAAGAAACTACAGTTTTAAGCCCCACAGTTCTTTTTGCCTCTTGTGTCATAGCAACTTGATCTGTATCCTAATTAAGATAGGACGTATGTAGATTTGGTGAGACAAAGCTGCAATCTGAGAGTTTCTATTTGGAGAGTTTCTCTGAGGTTGGAGATCTGGTTACATTGAATAGTGTGTGTGTATGTGTATAGTCTGTCCATAAAATATCCAGCCATGTACTATGAAAAATAGAGACATTTGTTGAAGAAGATACAAGATGCAAGAAACATTGTACATAGAACAAGGACACCTCAGTCTCCTTCAAAGCAGGCACCTTGGGAACTCACACAGTTCTCCCAACTGCAGCACATGTTCCTTTTGCTCTAGTAGTAGAAGCTGTGGAACAAATTTTGCCATGATGTGTTTCACGCCAACATCCTGCATCAAAATCTCAGACACAGTAGTTTTTATAATCTCCAAATCAACTTCCAGTTCTTCTACTGTGAGTCACTGATCTTTGTTGATTGCTGCTCATGCACATTCAATATTCTCAGATGTTCAGCTTGTTGTATGCCTTCTAAAACATGGATCACCTTCAAGATTCTCAAACATTTTTGAAGCATTTGTGTCATACTTTTATTTGTTTTGTATTCATTCTATCATCTCCAAAAACTTTCTGAATCATCCCAATAGTTTCTGTGGAGGAATATTCAAGCTTAATGCAAAATTTGATGCAGATTCATTGCTTTACTCACTCAGTAATTTTGAATGTGATGGCCACACAGTACACATGCTTATTCAACAGCATCTACTGCCTCCACTGACTAGTACAGTGAAGTCGTCATTGTTCACACATGCTCAATCCAGCCTAGTCTCCGTGGCTGCCAGGTTACATCAATGTCATGTAAACCATTCTCGTTATACTAACAATGGCTGGAATATAGATATGTGTATATATATATATGTATGTATATATATATATATATATATATATATATATATATGATTAAAAGTTTAGGAGTCAAGATAGTTTGAAACACTATATATAATGGGAAAGGGAGATGGAGACCAGAGGAAGGTAGTAAGATAATTAGGTAAATAAGAAGGTAGTAAGGTAATTAGGTGTTGAGGACCCACTGAAAAAGAATTTCTAGTGGTATGAGTTTTTCCAGCAGAGCTCAGATGGTCAGATGCAAGCATGGAGAATGTTGATGGTTCCAGTTCATCCAAAGTTGAGATTTTATTAGGTGGGTGGGATAGAAAAACAAAGGGACAAGGGTGAAATAATGGGCCATGAAATCTCAGCTGA